CATCATGGGCCTGCAGCACGCCCTTGCCATGTTGGGAGGCCGGTTCTGGGGGGGGATGAGGCCGCCAATGAGGCCTGTAGGGCCTAGAGCAGCCGCTCTTGAAAGGGTGTGTCACGGTGTGCCTGCACAGGCATCATCACCCCTCCTTCTTTGATCTCCGGCGATGCATGCTTCGCCTGGCAGCTGGACCAGGAGCTTGCCATGTGTCGGGTTAGCAGCTGGACTTCAGCAGTCTGAGTCCCCTCCCGCCTAAACAAAAACTTTTCGTAGGAGCTCTGCGACTCGAAACAGCTGCTTGGCAGAAGTCCGAGCGCTTGAGCCATCGTGCTTGTTTTTTCGGCGTTTGCATTTTGCATTCAGCTATGCGTCTTGGGACCCGGTGACGTCCTCGAGCATGTTGAGACCCGAGGTACATGATCTCCGCCGCGCTGATCTGCTCGGGCCTTCTGTCCCTGGTGCAGATCCTTCGCTGGAAGCTGGTGGGAGGCTACACCCTCGGAACGGGCCTGATCTCCGTGATCGGCACGTCCTTCACCTTCCTGCCCATCGCTCGTGAGGTGGTGGTGTCCGAGATCCAGGCAGGCCGCAGTGGTATGGATGCCTACGGCAAGTTCCTGGGGACCTGCCTGGCGGCCTCCGTGACCGAGCTCTTCATCTCCTTCATCCCGCCCCGCTACCTCAAGAAGGTCTTCCCTCCCGTGGTGAGCGGCACCTGCGTCTGCCTCATCGGCGCGGGCCTCTCCGTTGCGGGACTCAAGCACCTTCGCAAGCATGTCAGCCCTGTGCGTTCTAAGATTTGCAAGTGACATTCACGTAGATACTCTGACTAATTACATCTCGTCTACCAATGTATGCTGTCTCCGCCCTTCTCGGGGTCTGGGAAGGGAAGTCGACCCGTATGTCCAGGTACTGGGGCGGCGGCGTCTTCTGTGCGGAGAACGACATGTCCCGCGCGGCCGCTTTCGGTTCCCCCCAGGCCTTGCCTTTGGGGCAACACCTCTGAACCCGTGCCAGACAAACACACACTTGGTAGCTGAGTAGATAGCCTTTACCCTTTTGGGGTACCTACCATAGTTGCAAAGGTCAAGCTTTTCTGGGCCGGGCCAGGCTAGTCATCAAAGTAGGTGCAGCAACATCTTGTGCTGCAATGTACATCTGACTCTCTTTCTTTCTCTCTCTCTCTCTCACTCTCTCTTTCTCGCTTGCTCAAACTCGCTTGCTTGCTCGCTCATGTCGAGCGCAGATCTGCACCGGCAACGGCGACGTGGCGCTGCCCTACGGCGACGTGCACTACTTTGGCCTCGGCATGAGCGTGATGATCTTCTTGGCGGCTTGGCTGCACCATAAGTCTCACCGCACTTGCAGCGTGGACAGCGTGCTGCAGCCCACGTCCCGACTGGCGCGTGAACCCAGCCTCACGCGCAGGTCTTCATTCAGGCGGTGGGCTCGCCCTTCATGAAGAACTGCTCCGTTGCCCTGGCGCTCTTCTTCGGCTTCTTCGTGGCGGGAGTGTCCTCCTACACGGCCGAGGATGGCTCGTCCCTGCCCTACGTGAACAGCGACAAGATCGACCAAGCGGGCGTGTTCACCTTCCTCTGGACCGCCGGCTGAAGATATTGATATTCCAATTGCATCTAGAGTCTGGAATTGTTGCATGGCTCTTTCGGCCCTGGCCAGGGCTGCCACATGCCCCTCGCATAATTGTTTCAGGGATGAGGGGTGATTTGTCGGCTCGCGTTTCTGCATGAAGCAGGACGACCACCTTCAACATCGGCTTCTACCCTCCCGCCTTCATCCCGCTGCTGCTGGGCTTCGTGATCACGGCCGTGGAGACGGTGGGCGACATCCAGGCCTGCATGCATGCACACGGCCCGACACGGACCGAAACCGCCCCCACCCGGCCTTGCGGCAAGCGGAAGAAGCCCCGCTGAAGCGCAGCCTGCGTTTGAAGTCGAGGGTCGCGTGTTGCGTCTCTCGCGCGCGGCAGGCCTCCTGCGACGTGAGCGGCCTGCCCATCGAGGGGCCGGATGCGGACTCCCGCATCCAGGGCGGCCTGTTGGCCGACGGCGTCAACAGCTTCCTGGCCTGCCTCATGACCTGCCACTCGGATGCCTCAAGAGACATGCCAACAATATCTATAGCAATGAGAATCTGCACGGCTAGGGTTTAGGGTTTAGGGTGTAGGGTTCAAAGGGTATAGGGTATGGGGTTTCAGTTCTTCAGCCCTGCTTGGCCGGAGGCCCTCCCAACACGACCTTCTCCCAGAACAACGGCGTCATCGCCATCACCCGCTGCGCGTCCCGGGCCGCGGGCATCGCCTGCTGCTTCTGGCTGATCTTGCTGGGCTGCTTCGAGACACTCGGCACCTCAGTATACTGCAGACTCTCGCTTTTGATTCCCATTGCCCCGCGCCCTCAGGAAGTTCGGTGCGGCCATCGCTTCGATCCCGGACGCCGTCCTGGGCGGCATGACCACGTTCCTGTTTGCCAACGTGCTGGTCTCGGGCATCAACATCGTGGGTGGCTCGGCTTTGGCCACAGAGAGCGCGCGTGGAACTTTTGCAGAACACCTGCGTGCCACGACCCGCGCCCTCTTTTTTCGTGGCTTCACATCCTGTGGACTTATATGGACCCTACCGAGCATGATCGTGACAGTGACACACACACACAGACACAGAATCGGCTCTAGGCGGCAGCGGCAACATGGGCCGCCGCACCCGCTTCATCCTGGCCGTCTCCCTGGGCGTGGCTGAGAAGCAGTGCGCAGTGGGGAGAAGCCCTCGTGTAGGATATTTGCGTCAGAGCACTTCTAAACACTGAACGTTCATCACTTTAAAACACGAAGCTGGATGAATTAAGCTGCCCAAGGACACTATAAGCATTCACTTCGCAAGTAGTAGGGGCAGGGGTGATAGGAGTTCCAGAATGCTTCGGGGGTCTTCACGAAAACTCCAAAGGAGAAGGCCCTCTCTTTCCCAAGCAGTGGGTCAACACTAAAGGGTTCCTACGTGCAGAGTAAGCGGGGGTAGGTCGATGAAGCCGCATGGCACGCAATGGACAATGCTCTTGGAACGGTCTTACACTGTTAGGGGTCTACGATGGCATTATTTGTGAAATGTTTTTCCCCCCCGCCCTATGTGGGACCGGCCCTCATGAGGCGAATTTTCGTCCCTCTAGAATCCCTAAGCCCCATCTGCGTGGGAGCATGTGCAGCGTGCGTGCCAATGGGTGCGGGTGTATAGGCCTTCGGGCAGCATTCGAACTCGCGAAATTCTGAGCCCCACAGGCCCCGAAGCTTACGTAAACTCCCTTGTAAGATCATTTCACATTCGCGTTGAAGGTTGGCGTGGGAGTTTCGGCCCTTCCAAACTGGGCAGCTCGCCTGCATTGGCCGCTATTCAGTGGATGGGATACCTAAAAAGCCCTAAACCGAAACCCGACAAATTGGCATCCCCCACAGTGCCCAAACAAATTAGGGCTTCAATAGTTTTGAAACGGGGTCTTGTGACGAGTACTTATGTTTAAGGATGCTTGGGGATTTTTTTTTTTGGGGGGGGGGGGGGGTTTAGGAAAGGCCCCCAAGCTTAAACTGGCATAAACCAACCCACCCAAGAATCCTGAAGACTAGAAGCGCACAAGACCTTCAATCCCGCAAGTTTCGCATAGAGCTGAATGCTGTCGGGCTGAGTGGGATGTGTGTGTGTGTGTCTGGGTATGTAAACTTTGGGACGATGCAGAACCAAGCCTGCGCCCAAAATCCCAGATGCCGAGCCCGGAAGCCCTCTGAATCTGAAACGACTGAGGCCGAGGGCGGAGGTCTCGCGGGCTTCCACGGCGGAAACCTCAAGCACAACATCGGCCTTTGGCCCGCCAAGGACCCCGGTTGGATCAGCACTCCTTTTTGGACATTTTAACTCTGCTGCAAAAGCCCAAAGCCCCAAAAGCCCATTTGGAGGACGTTTGCGAGGTCTTCCCTACCGAGGAGTACGAGTCCGAGCCCGCCAAGTGCACGGTGGGGGCCTACACCGCATCCTCCATCAGCCACTTGCTTCTCCAAGTTCCTGCATGTTCAAACCTAACAGTTGCGGGGGGAGAGAAGGAGTCAAAGCGTGAACATGAACATATGTCGTTTAACCTAAGTCGCTCGCACGCGGGCACGGAGGGGGTGTGTTCGAGCTGGCGCACGCGAGGTCAGGTCGACTGCACCGGGATGGGTGGTGCGTACACAGCCCCTGTCACGGCCACGCGCACCGTGACCACCTGCATTGGAAACAACGGCAACTGCTGCGTGAAGTACAATGACAGCAAGAAGATGTGGCGTGACTCTCTGATCATCATCATGAAGACGCCCTACTGCATCGGCACGCTCCTGGCGCTGTTCCTGCACCTGCTGCTTCCGTTCGAGACCGAAGACGAGGACACTGTGGGCGAGAATGTGAAGGAGAGCGGTGAGGCCAACATGTGATTTGGCTGCTGGATTTTCCGTCAGACTGGGCGCTGCTTCCCTGCTTGCGGGAAGCGTGGATGCGCCGTTTTGTAAGTTTATAGTGTCTAGGTGGAGCCAGACAAAGAACAACGTCAGCTCTGCTTTTACATGCTTATACCTTTTCAGCTTTTCAGCACTCTGTCGCTGAGCCAAGTTGTCCGGGCGCCGTCCCTCAGCAAACGATGCTGGGGCTGATGGCTGCCGGTGTATGCCGCGGAGCAGGTAAGTACTATGGATGCCCACAGGCATCCACATTCCGCTGAGCTACCCAAGGTAGACATCAGCCCCCTTTGTGCTATCTTCCCTCTCTACCAAAGGTAGATGCCAGCACTTGTCGCCCGCAGGCAATTGCAAGGGCACACAGCGACAACCAGCGCAAACTTCGGAGACATCTGCTGCCTATTCCGCCACAAGCAAGCACAGGGTGCTGCAAGGCTCAGCTTAAGCGTATTGAAGCGTGCTGCAGCCATTTGTCCAGCTCAGCCGGTTTAGTTGTGACGTCCTCCCCCGCAGACATGTCCGCTGAGAAGGAAGTCAAGGATGTTGAGGAAGCTCCTGCCAAAGAGTCGCTGCTTGTCTATCCAGGGCGCGCGAAAGTCTCATCGCATGTCGCAGCAGTCCTGTGTTGCCCCTTAAGGTTCGGCGGTTGCGACTCGTGCTCCGGAGTCAGCTGCACGCCCGACGGCCTCATCGGCTTGAACACTTATGACGCCCGGCACTGGGCAGCTGCGGGAGAGACCGATTCCGACCTTGCTCCCTCACATCCCCCCGCATATCCACTTGGCAAGGATTGGAAGTACCTCTGCATCCCGACGCTGCCGTGCATGGGGGGGCCAGCGAAATCCCCGCCGCTGCTGAAGCCCGACGCGAAGCTGCCCCTGATGCTGCGCCTTGCATGCAGTGGCGGTTCGGTGCCGGTGCATTTTGTTGCGCATGCCCGTGTCTGAGGTCGCTCATCATGGGCCTGCAGCATGCCCTTGCAATGTTGGGAGGCCGGTTCTGGGGGGGATGAGGGCCTAGAGCAGCAGCTCTTCAAACGCGTGTGCCTGCACAGGCATCATCACCCCTCCTTCTTTGATCTCCGGCGATGCATGCTTCGCCTGGCAGCTGGACCAGGAGCTTGCCATGTGTAGCGTTAGCAGCTGAACTTCAGCAATCTGAGTCCCCTCTCCACCCCTCTCCCCCCCCCCCCCCCCCGCCTAACAAAAACTTTTCATAGGAGCTCTGCGACTCGAAGCAGCTGCTTGGCAGAAGTGTGAGCGCTTGAGCCAGCGTATGCCATCGTGCTTGTTTTTCGGCGTTTGCAGTTTGCATTGGTGAACTTCTTGCATTCGACCTGTGATGACCTGTGCGTCTTGGGACTCGGACCCGGTGACGTCCTCGAGCATGTTGAGACCCGAGGTACATGATCTCCGCCGCGCTGATCTGCTCGGGCCTTCTGTCCCTGGTGCAGATCCTTCGCTGGAAGCTGGTGGGAGGCTACACCCTCGGAACGGGCCTGATCTCCGTGATCGGCACGTCCTTCACCTTCCTGCCCATCGCTCGTGAGGTGGTGGTGTCCGAGATCCAGGCGGGCCGCAGTGGTATGGATGCCTACGGCAAGTTCCTGGGAACATGCCTGGCGGCCTCCGTGACCGAGCTCTTCATCTCCTTCATCCCGCCCCGCTACCTCAAGAAGGTCTTCCCTCCCGTGGTGAGCGGCACCTGCGTCTGCCTCATCGGCGCGGGCCTCTCCGTTGCGGGACTCAAGCACCTTCGCAAGCATGTCAGCCCTGCGTTCTAAGATTTGCAAGTGACATTCACATATATACTCTGACTAATTACATCTCGTCTACCAATGTATGCAGTTGCCGGGAAGGGAAGTCGGCACTTACGTCCAGGTACTGGGGCGGCGGCGTCTTCTGTGCGGAGAACGACATGTCCCGCGCGGCCGCTTTCGGTTCCCCCCAGGCCTTGCCTTTGGGGCAACACCTCTGAACAGACAAACACACACTTGGTAGCTGAGTAGATAGCCTTTACCCTTTTGGGGTACCTACCATAGTTGAAAAGGTCAAGCTTTTCTGGGCCGGGCCAGGCTAGTCATCAAAATAGGTGCAGCAACATCTTGTGCTGCAATGTACATCTGACTCTCTTTCTTTCTCTCTCTCTCTCTCACTCTCTCTTTCTCGCTTGCTCAAACTCGCTTGCTTGCTCGCTCATGTCGAGCGCAGATCTGCACCGGCAACGGCGACGTGGCGCTGCCCTACGGCGACGTGCACTACTTTGGCCTCGGCATGAGCGTGATGATCTTCTTGGCGGCTTGGCTGCACCATAAGTCTCACCGCACTTGCAGCGTGGACAGCGTGCTGCAGCCCACGTCCCGACTGCCGCGTGAACCCAGCCTCACGCGCAGGTCTTCATTCAGGCGGTGGGCTCGCCCTTCATGAAGAACTGCTCCGTCGCCCTAGCGCTCTTCTTCGGCTTCTTCGTGGCGGGAGTGTCCTCCTACACGGCCGAGGATGGCTCGTCCCTGCCCTACGTGAACAGCGACAAGATCGACCAAGCGGGCGTCTTCACCTTCCTCTGGACCGCCGGCTGGGTTCGGGATGTGGCGCCTTGAGCTTGCCGTTTGCATCTATAGAAGCTGGAATTGCTGCAGCAAGTTGTCCCAGAAATCATGAGGGGTTGCGGCTCGCGATTCTGCACTTCCTTCCGCCCCCCCCCCCCCCCCCCCTCTTCCTTTTTCCCATAAACTCTAAACCCTAAACCCTGAACCCCAAACCCGGTGTGCCTGTTTCGTGTTGTGAGGGAGTATTTGGGGCTCATGGGGTTCATAGTGCTTATGATAGGCTCGCAGGGCTGAGATCTTACAGGCTTTAGCATCTAGGGCCTTCAGTTTAGGGCTTCTGGGGCATAGGGTGGGGCGGGTTTGGGGGTCGAGCGATGTCGGGCTCCACACCTGACAGCTGGGTCTAAGTTGTAGGGTTAAGCCCAAGAGATGACGCGGGCCTTGAAGCCTAAAGGACTTGAACCCTACAGGGTTTATAGGCTTTCTACACCTCTGACTACAACTCACCGACGTTGAGTGCACAAGTCTCTGATGCCAAAGTCATTGCCCTGACCATCGAGCCCCTGACCTCAACGCACACAGCTTCGTCTCAATCCGTTGGGGGAAGGGGGGGGGGGGTGCCTTAAAGTTATTGCTTTATAGGCAGGTCTATCCTGCGCCGTTCAATGGTCAAGGATGTAGGGCTTAGGTGCTGGATTTTGGGCAGGGAATGCCAGTCAGGCAGCTTAAATCCCCTTGTCAAAATGCCTTCTTAAGGGGACAGAAGGCGCCCATAAGGAGGGTCTTTCCCGCATCGTCAGCTTTCCAACCCCAAATCCCAAACGTCAACAAGCCTATAGCTCCTGAGGTAGCACCTTAAGACGTGTTGTGTTCCCCCTTGTGTGGGGTTTAAGAGGATCAAATGTGAGAAAGGTTTTCGCCCTGCCTCCCTCCCCCCGCCCCCCTCGTGAAGCAGGACGACCACCTTCAACATCGGCTTCTACCCTCCCGCCTTCATCCCGCTGCTGCTGGGCTTCGTGATCACGGCCGTGGAGACGGTGGGCGACATCCAGGCCTGCATGCATGCACACGGCCCGTCACAGCCCGACATGGCCCGAAACCGCCCCCACCCGGCCTTGCAGTAAACGGAAAAAGCTCGCTGAAGCGCAGCCTGCGAAAGAAGTCGCTGGTTGATGCGTGTTGCTTCTCTCGCGCGCAGCAGGCCTCCTGCGACGTGAGCGGCCTGCCCATCGAGGGCCCCGATGCGGACTCCCGCATCCAGGGCGGCCTGTTGGCCGACGGCGTCAACAGCTTCCTGGCCTGCCTCATGACCTGCCCCTCGGATGCCTGGGGACATGCCAACACAAAGTCTCTTAGAGATCTAGCAATGAGAAAGTCTGCGCGGCTAGGGTTTAGGGTTTCGGGTTCAGGGTGTAGGGTTTATAGGGTCTAGGGTTTAGGGCTTCAGTTTCTTCAGCTCTTCCTGGCCGGAGGCCCTCCCAACACGACCTTCTCCCAGAACAACGGCGTCATCGCCATCACCCGCTGCGCGTCCCGGGCCGCGGGCATCGCCTGCTGCTTCTGGCTGATCTTGCTGGGCTGCTTCGAGACACTCGGCACCTCAGTATACTGCAGACTCTCGCTGTTGATTCCCATTGCCCCGCGCCCTCAGGAAGTTCGGTGCGGCCATCGCTTCGATCCCAGACGCCGTCCTGGGCGGCATGACCACGTTCCTGTTTGCCAACGTGCTGGTCTCGGGCATCAACATCGTGGGTGGCTCGGCATTGGCCACAGAGAGCGCGCGTGGAATTTTTGCAGAACACCTGCGTGCCACCACCCGCGCCCTCTTTTGTCGTAGCCTCACATGCTGTGGACACATATGGACCCTACCGAGCATGATAATTAGTCGTGACACTCCAGGCGGCAGCGGCAACATGGGCCGCCGCACCCGCTTCATCCTGGCCGTCTCCCTGGGCGTGGCTGAGAAGCAGTGGGCAGTGGGGAGAAGCCCTCGTGTAGGACATCGTAGGTTTTGCGTCAGAGCACTTCTAGATTCTGCGAGTTCATCACTTCAAAACACGAAGACGGATGAATCGCAGTAGTTCGGCTCAGCGTGTGGGGGGTGGGGGGGGATGGCGACAAATTTCCATCCCCCGTGCTAATGTGTTGCCCCTAGCTTAACTTATTTCCTTCAGCCATTAAGCTGCCCAATGCTCAGGACTATAAGAAGCGTTCACCCCGCAGGTAGTACTCGTAGGGGGTTTCAGCAAAGCATAGGAAATATATTCACGGGACTCCCAAAAGGAGAAGGCCTTCTCTTTCTCAAGGGGCTAGCGGAGGGACCCTTGTAAAGGGCCTTTATGGGTTATTTGGGGGTTATTTTATAGGGACTCTATAAGGTATATATAGGGGTTATATAGGGGAATAAGATTAAGGGTCCCTTGTAACTTGTAGTTTCCCCTTATCTTTTCCAAGTAGTGTGTCAGCACTACGACTACAGGGCTCCTACGTGCAGAGAAAGCGGGGGTAGGTCGTTTTTTTGTGCAATGTTGTTTTGTTCTCCCCGCCCTATGTTGGGACCGGCCCTCATGAGGCGAATTATAATCCCTCTGTAGAATCCCTAAGGCCCCATCTGCGTGGGAGCATGTGCAGCATGCATATGCCAATTGGGGGTGTATAATAGGCTTTGGGGCATCATTCGAGGAACTCGCAGTAAATTCCGAGTCCCCACGGGCACCGAAGCTTTCTGCCCTAACCTTGAGACGCCTTAAACTCCCTTGTAAGACCATTCACATTCGCGTTGAAGGTTGGCGTGGGAGTTTCGGCCCTTCCAAACTGGGCAGCTCCCCTGCATTGGCCGCTTTTTAGTGGATGGGATGCCTAAAAAGATTACCCTAAGGGTCCATGTACTTAAATTGGGAACACTTGGGCCTTAAAGCACTTGCTATATAACGACTTTAGGGCCCAAGTAGATCATATTCAGGTACATGAACCCTTAGGCTTAGGCTTATAAACCGAAACCCGAAAAGCTAGCATCTCCCAAAGGGCTTCAATGGTATTTACGCGGGGTCTAGTGACGAGTATGTCTAAGGGTATCTTGGGGGGATGTGGGGGGGGGTAGTTTAGGAAGGATGGAACGGCCCAATATCCTTCAAGTTTCACATAGAGCTGCATGCTGTCGGGCTGAGTGGGATGTGTGTGTGTGTGTGTGTGTGTAAACTTTGGGACGATACAGAACCAAGCTTGCGCCCAAAATCCCAGATGCCGAGCCCGGAAACCCTATGAATCTGAAACGACTGAGGCCGAGGGCGGAGGTCTCGCGGGGTTCCATGGCGGAAACCTCAAGCACAACATCGGCCTTTGGCCCGCCAAGGACACCGGTTGGATCAGCACTTCTTATAGAACATTTTAACTCTGCTGCAAAAGCCCAAAGCCCCAAAAGCCCATCTGGAGGACGTTTGCGAGGTCTTCCCTACCGAGGAGTACGAGTCCGAGCCCGCCAAGTGCACGGTGGGGGCCTACACCGCAGCCTCCATCAGCCACTTGCTTCTCCAATCGATCTGCGTGACATGGGTTGCATGCATGAACATGAACATATGTCGTTTAACCTAAATCGCTTCCATCAGCCACTTGCTTCTCCCAAGCAGCTTCCTGCATGTTCAAACCTCACAGTTGCGGGGGGAGAGAAGGAGTCAAAGCGGCGAGTCGTGACATGGGTTGCACATGAACATATGTCTTTCAACCTAAATCGCTCGCACGCGGGCACGGAGAGGGTGTGTTCGAGCTGGCGCACGCGAGGTCAGGTCGACTGCACCGGGATGGGTGGTGCGTACACCGCCCCTGTCACGGCCACGCGCACCGTGACCACTTGCATTGGAAACAACGGCAACTGCTGCGTGAAGTACAATGACAGCAAGAAGATGTGGCGTGACTCTTTGATCATCATCATGAAGACGCCCTACTGCATCGGCACGCTCCTGGCGCTGTTCCTGCACCTGCTGCTTCCGTTCGAGACCGAAGACGAGGACACTGTGGGCGAGAATGTGAAGGAGAGCGGTGAGGCCAACATGTGATTTGGCTGCTGGATTTTCCGTCAGACTAGGCGCTGCTTCCCTGCTTGCGGGAAGTTTGGATGCGCCGTTTTGTAGGTGTATTTGCACTTATTGACTTATTGTCTAGGTGGAGCCAGACAAAGAATCAGGTCGGCTCTGCTTTTACAGTCTTACCTTCTCAGCAGAGTTCTTCGGGCACCGCCCCTCAGCAAATGATGCTGGGCCGGCTGCCAGTGAGCGCGTGCCGCGGAGCGGGTAAGTACTATGGGCCCATCCGGTGCCCACAGGCATCCACAGTCCGCTGAGCTACCCAAGGTAGACATCGGCAACCTTTTGTGCTGTCTTCCCTCTCTACCAAAGGTAGATGCCAGCACTTGTCGCCCGCAGTCGATTGCGAGGGCACACCAGCGACAACCAGCGGAAAACTTCGGAGACATCTGCTGCTTATTCCGCCACAAGCACAGGGTGACTTCAAGTCGGTGGCAGCGCGCCAACATCGCCAACCTGCAAGGCTCAGCTTAAGCGCATTGAAGCGTGATGCAGCCATTTGTCCAGCTCGGCCGGTTTAGTTGTGACATCCTCCCCCGCAGACATGTCCGCTGAGAAGGAAGTCAAGGATGTTGAGGAAGCTCCTGCCAAAGAGTCGCTGCTTGTCTATCCAGGGCACGCGAAAGCCCCATCGCATGTTGCAGCAGTCATGTGTTTATCATGTGTTGCGCAAGGTTCGGCGGTTGCGACTCGTGCTCCGGAGTCAGCTGCACGCCCGACGGCCTCATCGGCTTGAACACATATGATGCCCGGCGCGATGTGGGCAGCTGTGGGGAGAGATCGATTTCGATGCGCATGCCCCCCCTCTCCCACCCCCTCTCCCACCTCGTCCCCCTTTCCCCGGCCCGGCCACGTCCCCCCGCATATCCACTTGCCAAGGACTGGAAGTACCTCTGCATCCCGACGCTGCCGTGCATGGGGGGGCCAGCGAAATCCCCGCCGCTGCTGAAGCCCGACGCGAAGCTGCCCCTGATGCTGCGCCTTGCATGCAGTGGCGCTGCAGTGGCGGTTCGGTGCCGGTGCATTTTGTTGCGCATGCCCGTGTGTGAGGTCGCTCATCATGGGCCTGCAGCATGCCCTTGCAATGTTGGGAGGCCGGTTCTGGGGGGGATGAGGGCCTGGAGCAGCAGCTCTTCAAACGGGTGTGCCTGCACAGGCATCATCACCCCTCCTTCTTTGATCTCCGGCGATGCATGCTTCGCCTGGCAGCTGGACCAGGAGCTTGCCATGTGTAGGGTTAGCAGCTGAACTTCAGCAATCTGAGTCCCCTCTCCACCCCTCTCCCCCCCCCGCCTAAGCAAAGACTTTTCGTAGGAGCTCTGCGACTCGAAGCAGCTGCTTGGCAGAAGTCCGAGCGCTTGAGCCAGCGTATGCCATCGTGCTTGCTT